GGTATTCATCGCAAAACACTTGAGTTAAATACACTCAACATAGGAGATATGAATGCTGTTCCTATGTGCAAATTCTGCTTTCAGCATCCCATCAAATCTGCAGATTCTTTCAGATTGTTGATCGTTTTCTAAACTATTGATGTTGCAAGTAAAATATATTTATGGAAGATTTCCTTCTTAAAGTAGTTGTACTTAAATGAATGAACTTAATTAAGACAGAGGCTGCTGCCATTGAAATGCGCCCAAGCAACATTAAAATTCTTACACCATAATACAAATAACAGGTCCTCTTGGCCAAGAGGTCTTAATCCTACCATGAGTGCTCTCCAAACAACAGCACAAATTTATTTATATTTCAGATTTAAACCATGTCAGCTATACAGTGCATTAAGATAATCTTTTAAATAATGTTCAACAATAACTTTTAGACTTGACAAATGACTTCTTTTCATAGGGTAACATGAAAGTTGCAGTCAAACGTAGCCCTCCTCTACGCTGTCTTTACTGCAGAAGGGATTCGATCACAGCGTCTGGCTTAGCAGATCTTTTCCTGTGTGGAGATGAGTGCATGATAAATGTTATCAACAGCTTCAGAGAGCTTTCAGCCATCTCATTTCTCAGAATAACAGAATATCATGATAACAGCAAATAACATGCTAACGTATCATTATCGACATGCTATATATAGACTAATTATACAGTGACCCCAAACATCCACAACCAACAATTCTTCTGTTTACTTAGCAGTATTTGATGTAGTCTAACTTAAGTACAAATGAAAGACTGTTAAAAAGCGTTGTAATGGCGAGGGGCTAATATTTGCAGAGCTATGACTGTGCATAAATGACCAGAATGAAAGTTTTTGCTTTTCAGAAATACCCCATTCACACTTAGTCACTTGTGTTGTCATGTGGCAAAACAGGGATTTGATATGAAAAAAGGCTGAGTGAAAAAACTGTTTAAACCACTTTGCAAGGTGGTTTGAAAAGGTGCAAATGCATCAGTCTCTCCAAGACACATACAAAATCATTACTCCTCTTAAGTGTAACTATGCTAGTGAATGGTCTGTGGAAGAGATTATTTACAAGAATGCCTTGTAACATTGAAATTACACTGAAACCAGCTATCTCACTCCCTGTCACATAATAAGCAGCAGCGAGAGAACAGCTTGCGATTTAAATTAGTATTAATGTTCCCCTGCTGTAGCCTGATGAGTGTAACCCCAGAGTCATCCATGTGTTTGTGTTAATAGATGGATAGTTATTAGCTAGGCTGCTAAACTTTTGTTGTAACTAAACAGTTCCTGATGCAGACCCACCACCCTCTGGACTAGGCTGACCCAGGTTTGCATGTAACCCAGGAAACCAAGATTGATTCGATCAGATTTATGAATTAATCAACAGAGACATACATATGAATCTCAGTGTTAACCCAAGTGCATTAAATCATATGACATGACCCTGAGAAACTACATGGTGGACTGTATGAGTAATGTTCAACAGGATGTGCAGCTTCAGGCTGTGTGGAAAGCAGATTACCTTCGTCCTGTCTTGGGTCGACCACTCTTGCTACTTTTAGAGGTTCTTGGCCTCTCTAGTTTCATCAGTGACTGCCGCATACTCTCCTCTGTGTAAGCCAGATACACATGGGACAGATCCACCTCAAAAGGCTACGGGAGGCACAGACAGAAGAGAGAGGTCAAAATTACATTGTAAATGAGGAAAAAGAAAAAATTTGCATCAGCCATTACACAAAAACTCACATCTTTTTCTTTTTTGTCTGGAGCAGGGGTCTGTTTTCTCATATTGTTGCCAGTGTATGCCACACATTTCTGAAAGATAAGGTACAAAAACACAAAATACTGAGAAGTACTCCTAAACTCAGTTTGCACTTTTAAGTTGATGTTAATGAACAAACC